ATTATGCCAAGTTACTGAAACATAATAGTGTAAAAAAACAATAGCAAGGACTCAAAATAAACCTCATCACTCTAAAATCTTCAATGTATTGCTTTGCTTCCAATTTAGATTTTGGGATTCTTATATAGCATAAAAAATTTAGGATTTTCTCCTTGGATAATAACTTTAATTTCGTCTAGAATTAATGCACAATGTGTTGGATATTATTCGTTCCATAAATATCTCCAATAAGATATGATTTGTTCAATTTAAATCTTCATTTAAATTTGAATCAGTTTTCGTCCAACCGTCAAACAAATAACCTAATCATATTTCTAATACAATTAGCAATAAAATATGAACCAATCTTTGACCAAAAACTCTTCCAAAATGCAACAGTATTGATCTGTTGTTCAACACCCAGATGGTTGTACCTTATGCTGTGACATTGTGCCTAACATGTGTCCCTTCTGCACCTTCATACAATTTAAGCAAGCTAGATAATCATAAACACTTTGAATACTTCTCTATGCGGTTGTTCTACAAATGAAGTCAATCTAATAGGGAACTACAAATTGTACACAATGGATTTTACAACCATAACTTTTATGTTTAATCGATAATAGACATAATTGAAGTACCAATTCTAACAAAACATATACCTTTACAGTTAATCACTACCAACAGAAATTCTAATGGAAAGCAATTTCTAAAAAGCAATAAAGAACAATCTAAACATACAATTAACCATGAAAATTAAAAAGGTACACTAAGATTTATAGTGGTTTAGCACGTTTGTCTTTGTTTTGTGCTTAATCCACTTTCCAACGATTTACCATTGAAAATTGTTGGTCTTCCGCTATTATTGTAACAAAATTGCACGAGTTCATACAATCACAGTATCCGAAATAAATGTTAAAAATTAAATTTCATCTTTTTGGATCTTTGATTTGTACACAATCCACGAACTAAACTCTATGCGAAATCTTTACTCAAATTCGCTTCTTGATCTTCCAGCCCCAACAACCTACTCTTGAGTCACCGTTATGCGACCATATTTACTCAATTCCATCAGTATCTTAAGCGTTGGACTGTATGAAAATTGAGAAGAACTCTTACTCTGTTTGTTGGCTTCCACACACATTAACCAAGGTCAACCTGGAGAGAATAACCTCCTTTTTTCCCACTAGATTTGTTAGAACCAATCATAATGCCACACACTCTTGTGAACCTCTAAAATCTTAGACAAATCTTTAAAGAAATGTTAAATTAAAAATGAATCCTCTTAATCAATTACGAATCTTCAGAGATAAGATTCAAATCCATGCAATAATGAAAAAAATAATGAGGTAAAGATGAAGAAAATTTTTCCAAGTGTTCACAAAATATCCAAAACTCTTTTGAAAATTGAAAGAACAAGTGGTTTATGAGTTTTCAACTCAACAACGGAAGTATGCTTGTTCTAAAAATCTGTGAAATATTTGAGAGAGAAAAATGATTCATAGATGGGTGGAGATTTAGCCACCCAAAACAAGTGAAAAAATCATGCTTGATTCGAGTTATGAACAACTTGTGTGATTTGAGTCCAGAGGAAAAGTAATTTGGAGCAAGATCAACACCTTATGAGTAACCCATTTCAGCCATGATTGAGTCAAGGAAAAGTTGTGATTCGAGTCAAGAATAAGTTATGATTCGACTTAAACAATGTAGCGGGGCAAACCAGGAATTTTCATAGATAACTTGTGATTTGAGTCACAGGGTTCATGATTCGAATCATTCATAAGTTGTGATTCAACTCATAGAATTCCGATTTCCTTCTGTATGCTTTGATTTGACTCACAGGGTGTGTGATCCGAATCTCATACCTAAAATCTCTCTCTCTACTCTCTCATCTCTCTCCTCTCTCTCCTCTCTCCCCCTCTCTCTCTCTCTCTCTCTCTCTCTCTCTCTCTCTCTCTCTCTCTCTCACTCTCTCCTCTCTCTCTCTCTCCTCTCTCTCTCTCTCTCTCTCTCTCTCTCTCTCTCTCTCTCTCTCTCTCTCTCTCTCTCTCTCTCTCTCTTTCTTTCTTTGCAATTTGAAGATGTTTTGAGATTTCACTTAAGTCGATTTGAACTAATCTCAAATATGTTACTTGATCTAAATCTCGACTAATTAACTTAAAGCATATTGTTCATACTAAAAAAAATACTAGTTTGAATTTTGCATACTAAAATTCGAATCTAAAACTTGATCCTCAAATGTGCAATTGAAAAGCATACTCAATGATATTAGACCAAAACTGAAACAAAGTTTTAAAGGAAAAGCAACAAAATCATATAACAGAGTCATGCATAATCTCCCTTTTAATATAGTAGAGACTTACATTTTCAGTCCAACTCTAAAAAAATTTACAGGCAAAACGGGCACGCCCTACAGGCCAAATCCGTTTTGGATCAGAACCTAGACTGATACCATGTTAAACTCATAAATGAGGATTGAAAAACTATATGCTTTTATGTGGTACTATTCTTCTTTTTATACTGTTAATACAATCTATAATTTCATTATAACTAGACTATTAATAAATAAAGGAAGAATACGATACTTGTATCGGATACGACATATAACCCATAATATGATACACTACAATTAAACCGTAAAAGAAATTAAATAGAGTCCCTAAAGAATGACCTTAAAAAATTAAAAGAAATATTAAAAATTAAAAGTCACTTGTTTGTGATGTATTGAAGGTGTATCTTCGTTGTATTGTTTTTTTTTTTAAATAAATAAATAAATTGAATACTTCTTCGATATATATCAACACCGTATCCACAGCGAATTAATATCTATTGGATACGATTCAATTGAGTTTTTAGTACATCCGTGTTTCATAGTATTTAAATAATACATACTTATTGAATAGAATTTACAATTTAAATGACAATTAAATGTACAAATTAAGTAGTTTAAATTCCAACGAATATATACTAATAAAAATATTTGCAATTCAGTTCTATTGACATAAATTTCTTAAATAAAGTCTCTAATATTTTATCGGCTATCTTTGCATTTCTATTTGGTTATCTTCTTTACTCTTGACATCTCTATCTTTCGAGCATGTAATTCTTGCCTTCCAAGTATTTGGAAAACAACTCAATTTCCTTCGTTTTGATGGAGTCCACAAACAATTTATATAGAGTAATACAACTCATCTATTTTATCTCGTATCTCGACTATTATTTTTTTTATTTTTATATTTTTTAAAATATTTTAATTCTATCTTATTTATTTATCAAATAAATTTATTATTAATGGTTATTATTTCACACCCATAATAAAGTGTATGGAATAATTTTTTCTCAAGTTCTTTCGGTATTTAATTTTTCATTATCAAATAACTTGCTAATCAAGTTTTCTGATATGTATTTTTTTTTATCAAATAATTTGCAATCATGTTTTCCGGTATGTAATTTTTTCCACAAAATAACTTACAATCAAGTTTTCCGGTATGTAATTTTTATTAACCGGATAACTTGCAATCAAGTTTGTCGATATGTATTTTTTTTCATCGAATAATTTAGTTTAGACAACAAGAAAAAACCGTGGCCTAAACAAATAAAATTGTTCATAAAATACTAGGCAACGGTGTTTCATGCGTGGGATATATGATTTTTCATAAGTTGAAAAAACAAGAGAACACGTGGCGTAAAGTAAATGAAATTGTTGTCTAAACTACTAGGCAACAATTTTTTATTTGTGGGAATAAACAATTTTTCATATGTTGTAAAAATCATGTCTATTAGAATAGACCACAATTTATTTACTTTAGGCCTACATTTTTCATTGCTACCTTGACCTCAAATTATTTGATGAAGAAAAATTATATACGAAAAATCTGATTGCAAGTTATTAAGTGAATAACAAATTATATATCAGAAAACTTGATTGTAAGTTATCCGATGAAGAAAAATTACCTATCAATTTTTTTTGACAAAGTACTCCTTTCAGTAAGGGTGTGAAATGATAAATATTAAATAATAAAATTATTTGATAAATAAAAATGTAGAATTGAAATATTTTAAAAATGTGGAGTAGAGGAATAATGGTAGGGGGTATGAAATAAAATTTTCATCTTCCATATCAATTTTATAAGGAAGAGTTAGACTAAATTCTAATTCTATTATAGTGTGACGGAGCATATAGATTCGGGGGCCACCCATCATTTATATACGCACCAAGCTCAATAGTGCTGAACGTATGTATTAGAAAAATTAAATCTCATATATCGATAATTCAGATCATCCACCATTTATATTCACGCACCAACTCTAATAATACCGAGCGCAAAGAGATATATTAGGAAAAATCCAAGTTCTACATTAATAAAGATAAATCCACAAATAATTTATATAGAATAACACCCTTCACCTTACAATTTAATTTTATAAAAAATAAGATAGACCAAACTTTAATTGTATCATCCAATAATCCCTATCTCAACCTTGAAATCAATTTTTTTTTCAAATTTTTTAATTTAAAATATAACTACTTATAACTAATTGACTACCCAAAGTGTTCCTAATTAGGAGAAGTATTAGAGTTGTTAGCTTAATATATAGCTAGGCTAGTTGAACTACATGCCTTTCTAGTATTGTTTAATTTCCACACAATCACAATGAGGGAACTAAATACAATCTACACAAGATAAATATATGTGCATGATCAACAAAACCAGATATGAAAAAAAAACATCAGTTATGGGAAGAACATTAATCTGATTAATTTCTGGTTATTCCGTTTTGCACTTTTCAGAACACTCACTCATATGCACACTCCACATTTATTCCAAAAGTCATTAAAAAATTGACAATTTGAAGATGAAATCTATACACTTTAACAGAACTTCCACTATGACTTTTAATATATAGTATCTTGCACTTTTGATTCTACATCCACTCCAAGAGCTATACTTGTTGCAACTTGTGTGTTATAGTGCTTATAGTAAAATTTCTAAGGTTTTCAAACTAGTCACTTTTTGAGAATGAAGAAGCATTCTCATATTTTACCATTGTGTTTATTTTTTCTTACTCTATTTCTTTTAGTTCAAGCTAGACATCATTCTCATAGAAAACATAGGCATTCTCATTCTCATAAGTCAAATAAAACTTCACTTCCGCAACCGTCGCCTCCTCCTCGTGACGATGGTAATGGCGCCTACAATAACAATGCCTCGGGAATTTTCGATGTGAGAGCATTCGGTGCCGTTGGAGATGGAATAGAAGACGATACAGAAGCGTTTAAGACGGCATGGGACAGTGCTTGTCAAAATGAGTCACAAGTAGTTAATGTTATTCTTGTTCCTCAAGGCTTCTCGTTTGTCGTTCAGTCTACTATCTTCACCGGTCCTTGTCAAGGTGACTTGATATTCAAGGTAATAATAAACTTAAACTTATACTTACTCCGTCCGAATTTTCTATGGCTACGTAGTTTGTCCAACAACGTCTTATCTGTTGGATCTAGACTGTACCTTGATCCAACAGAGTTAGTTGGACTAACTACATAGCTGACATATTTTCCACGGCCTTGCAGTCTGTCTAGCAAAATCTTAATTGTTGGACAGACTGTATGGCCACCGAGAAATTTCTTATTAGATAGCTAACCCATGAAATTTTCTGGTATGATAAATTAGGTGGACGGCACTGTTATGCCACCGGATGGACCTGAATCCTGGCCGAAGAACACCGGTAAGCGTCAATGGCTGGTCTTTTACAGAATCAATGGAATGTCATTAGAAGGAAGTGGTTTAATAGATGGAAGAGGACAAAAATGGTGGGACCTTCCATGTAAGCCTCACAAGGTAGTGATGATTTATACTTCTAACAATTTTTCATCTTCAACAATTTTCATACCAAGTTAAAATTTCACCAATAAATCCCACAGGGATCAAATGGAACAGCATTAGGACCTTGTGACAGTCCAATTGTAAGTTTTCATCAAAACCTTAAATTTCTTCTTATATATATATACATCAAAACCTCACCAGTTGAGTATAATCATGTATACAAAATTGTACATAATGCAGGCGATAAGATTTTTTATGAGTTCCAACTTAACAGTGCAAGGACTTAAGGTGAAGAACAGTCCTCAGTTCCATTTCAGATTTGATGGATGCAATAATGTCCATATAGATTCAATTTACATTACAGCTCCAAAACTAAGCCCAAACACTGATGGAATTCACTTAGAAAATGTCAATGATGTGAAAATATATAATTCTGTGATTTCCAATGGTTAGTTGCTATAATGTTTTTTTAATAACTTTCCTACTTAGTTTATAGAATCAAATGCATTAATAATTTATACATGGGTGGTTTATCTTTTATAGGTGATGACTGTGTCTCCATTGGATCTGGATCCTATGATGTTGACATAAAGAACATTACATGTGGACCTAGTCATGGAATTAGGTAACTTTTAATTATTATGTCAGTAGCACCGACACCTCTGAAAAAGTGTATCTGTTTCAGTGTTGATGTTCGAAACCAACACTGACACCTGTGATTACGTTTAATTTATAATTTTTTCAAATTATTATTAGTATTAACGTGTGTCAGTGTCAATGTCATGTTTCTGATACCTCTAATACATGATCATGATATATATTATATCTAATAATACTTATTTATCTATCATTCAGCATAGGTAGTTTAGGAAACCACAACTCCAAAGCATGTGTATCAAACATAACAGTGAGAGACTCAATCATAAAAATGTCAGACAATGGAGTCAGAATCAAGACATGGCAAGGTGGATCAGGAACAGTATCAGGAGTAACATTCAACAACATTAACATGATTAGTGTAAGAAATCCAATCATAATTGACCAATTCTATTGCTTAACCAAAGACTGCATTAACAAAACCTCAGCAGTATTTGTTTCAAACATTCTTTACACAAACATCAAAGGAACATATGACATAAAAAGTCCTCCTATGCATTTTGGTTGTAGTGATTCTGTCCCTTGCACCAACATAACACTCTCAGAGATTGAGCTTCTTCCATCTCAAGGAGATATAGTGAATGATCCTTTTTGTTGGAATGCTTATGGAGATTTGGAGACATTAACTATTCCACCAGTTTCTTGTTTGTTAGAGGGGATTCCTCAATCTTTGTTGGACTATGATGTAGGTCATTGTTGACCAAATAAGTTCTTTGATTTAAGGAAAAGTGTGTTCATGTATATATGATTGATTGTTAGGAGTTGTTGGGGAGTTTGATATTAATATGAGATTTGATTTTGAAGCTCATGTTGTGATTGATGGAGAGTTGTGTTTTTTAATGCTCTTCCTTAAATGTAAACTATGTTGCATGATTATGAAGTTGCTTCTACCTTAAGAGTTTAATTTTTTGTCACAATTTTCTACCTTGAGAAGTGATGTACAAATATTAATTTGAAAGTTAATATTACATTAAAATATTAAATTAACATTTATATTAAAATAAATTTGTTATTCAGATAAACTAATCCAAAATAAGTTTAAAATTGAAATCAAATAATTCTATTTAATGTTTGCTATTTGCATTTCAATATTATTTGTGTTACTAGTTATGTTGTAACACTTTACATGTCCTTCAATTCCTTAAATAAATAAAAAAGTAGTATATATAGGATTTCAAAAACAAAAAGTAAAAAGAATGTGAGAAGAAGGCAGTTGGGTGCAGAGTGAAAAGACAAGTTGGGTTTTTGGTTTTGAGTAATGTACGGCAGGCAGTGGCCACGCTGAGGATGGGTGAAAGGAAGTGTTGGTATATATCAATATAATAAGGGAAAGTATATACTTAAATATGTTCAACAAAAAGTTACTCTCAAGTGGTTACATCCAATTGCCATCCACCAAATGCACCTTTTTCTTCTGCTAATATTGACAAAAGTTTGCCTCTGAATTCTATAACACTTGGTAATAAATCAATATATGAGGTATACTATAGGTTATTAGTAAATTAGTCTATAAATTATGTTGGCTAGTGTTAAGTTAGTCATCACAAGTTTAACAATAAGATCAAATTGATTTATGTGATTCAAAATTAGTCTTTTTTTTTGTGTATTTACAAAATTTCAAAAGTTTAACAATAAGATCAAATTGATTTATGTGATTCAAAATTAGTCTTTTTTTGTGTATTTACAAAATTTCAAAGGGGTAAATGTCTGACCTTTAAATATTTAAAAGAAATTGGTGATTTATTTTGGAATGAGTTATATTCGTTTAATAGGTAGAATATAAGTTGTATCGTCATCATTTAAATACGATATATCATGAAGAATGTTTCAAAATCTCAAATAATAAAGAGAAAAGTTTCGTTTTTAGCATTTGAGATTTTCGACAGGAAAGATTAGCGGTGACAGTTTGGCATCTGTTGTGTTTGTTGAATATATATACATGTTTAAAAAGTCTCATATCGTCTAGTTTTGTGAATGAAGAGAGAGTTCAAAGGTAATATAGAGGATACAAGTTATTTGAAGTTCCACATCGCTTAATTTTGTAAAAGAAGAGGGAGTTCAAGACTATATATAAGATTCAAGTTGTTCATTCCAAGATGCACCAGTCAAAAGCACTTTAAGCTTATATTTAACTTTCTTTGTCCTCTTTGTTTTAGAGGGTATGAGTGTACTAGGGGTATAAGTTAGTTTAGGGTATATTATGTGTTGTAACAATTTTCACATAGTGTTATTCTCTTATTGTCTATTGACAATGGACGTGGTTTTTCTCCGGTTTTGGAGTTTCCACGTTATGTTCTTGTGTTGTGATTGCGCTCCTCTTTTTTCTCTATGCTTTTTTTTCCAACAACTGCTATCAGAGCTTTTGGTTTGATCCGGAGATATGTGTTCTTAGTATGCTCTATGGTTGTAGTTTTGTCTGATCTTCCACATCAGAAAAGAATGATAGTGTTGTGAAAAAGTTGTTGAGTTGCAGTCACAAATTTCGCTGTGTAGTTTGGGTTAGAGAAAATTGATGGAATTTTTTTTACTTGTGGTAAGTTCAAGTCAAAGATGTGTTGATACAATCAAGATTACACAAGGTGCAAGATTATGTCGGTGGTTGAAGAATTTCTTGCCAACAAGGAACTTGCACCATAAAATTTTAACCTAGTTTTCGACATGTGGAAATTCTTGAAATGGTTTAGCTTCAAGTGAAGTATACTCTTATTTAAGTGGAGTATGATAGTTTTTTAAAACTATGATTGTCGGTGAAGACAATGTAAAATTCTTGGGGTGGTTTAACTTCAAGTGAAATTTATTCTTCATGACAAAGTATATGATTATCGGTTATGACAATGTGAAATTCTTAAAGTGGTTTATCTTCAAGTGATATATATTTTTCATGAGAAAGTACGATAGTTTTTAAAACTATGATTGTCGGTAAAGAAAATCTGAAAATTCTTGGAGTCGTGTAGCTTCAAGTGACTATACTATTTATACTTGTAACACCCCAAAATTTTCTCTCTCTTTCTTTAACCTTTTTGGCTTATGCTTCATTTCATTTGCATTTTCATTTGTGCATAGCATTGGCTATAAACACGGGATCAAGGTGTCTTTGTTGATCCTCAAGAGGAGGTGATGTTTCTCACAGAAAAATTAAGATGATGTATTCAATCTTTGGTATTCTCAAGCTTTAAAGTCCTTTCATCATCAAGGCATTCTCAACAATCTCACACAATCATCTGGGTTAGGGTTTGCAAGCATTGATCATACTCTCCTATCTTTTGTGCATGGATTAGGGTTTTGACCAAAGCTTCCTTGTGGTTGATTCTTGGAGCAAGTCTTGGTTCTATGGCTAAATATGCATCTCAAGTATTTCATACATGTGCCATGTCTCTTCACAAGTCATCACATATGCCTCAATCAGTGGAAGGAGGATTAGGGTTTCATCTGATCAAGAAAGTCAACTATGGCTTCACAAAGTCAAACTCTTGGATTTTGAGGTCAACCATGGACATCTTAAGTCATCTCAAGTGTTATTTTGAGGTTGTATCAAGAAGAATCAAGGAGAATCATAAAATCAGGAGAATTTGTAAGTTAGGGTTTTTAGTGAATTTTTTTTCTAAGTGTGGAAAACCATAATTTCTAGCCATGTTGTATCATTCATAACTTTTTCATCCTTGATCCAAACGGGGAAAACTTGTAATCAAATTAAAGAGGACATCATGAACTACAAGTTTTTAGAAGGAAACAAGTCTAAAAGATTCATAGATCAAAAGTTATGGTGGTTTAAAGTTGAGAGAAATCAAGATTTGTGATTTCAAAGGCCATTTTCTTGATGATTCAAGCCTTATCTCATCTTTCCTCCAACATGAAAGTTGTTCTTCATTCTCCAACATTTCTTTTGAGTACAAGAACTCTTCAATTGGATGTGTAGAACTCAAGACATGTTGTCCCAAAGTTAGGGTTTCCAAGATGCCAAATTTAGCAAGTGGTTTGTCAACTTCATGAAACTAACTTCTAAGACATTTTTCATCATGATCCAAACTCCAATTCAATTTCTTTCGAACACCAAAGTTGTTAAGATTCTTCCAGACTTTTCAAGCCTAATAAGAACTCATCATTTGAGTACCTAAAGCTCAAGATATGAAGCTTCAAAGTTGATGTCATTAAGTTGTCAAAAGTGCCTTGTAACTTAGAATTTCTTTTCAAGTTTCTAGGTCAGTTTTGGGGACACCACTTCAAGGCAACTTTTCACTTTGATTCAAGCATCATTTCAAGATTGTTATAACATGAATCTTATTCCTTTACTTCCCTACTTCACTGTGAGCTTGAATTCTCTCCATTTGGTTGAAAACCCACCAAGATATGGTTCTTTAAAGTAGTGATCATGCTTCATATGTCCATGAAATTCCATGTTGATTTCTTTGTGCAATGGACTGACATTCTTGCAGCATGTTTCACATACATCAAATTCACACGCCTTGTACCTTGTTTACATCATCAAATTTTGCCAAAGTTAGCCAAACATACATACATATGTCATGCATGCCATTTCAAATTTGTTACTAAAAGTGGAAAAGAAAAAATCACCTAAAACTCTACCTCATTCCTCCCACGTGCCATAACTTTTTCACACTTTTCATGTTGCATTCCCATGCTCAGAATCACTCATCCTAACCTCCTTCCAAGACTAAACCCGTGCCTAACCATATCATGTGCATTCACCCATTTTTCTTTCCAAACCATGTTAACCAACTTTAACCCTCTTGCTTCGTACCAAACCTAAAAGAAACACCCTATTTAAGCTCATCGACTCCAAACCTAGCTCATTCTTTATCAAGTTTCAGATCTGAGCCTCCAAATTCTCCAAAATTTCCTCATCTTCGAACCTGAATTTTTCCAAGGATTTCTTCAAGTTTTCTTGCTAGTTTCATCATCAGTGAAGAGTATTGAGCGTTTGGTGAAGTTTTCTTCAAGAATTTGCAAGGTTTGAAGGTGCAGTGGACATTCTCCACTAGGTAACTTTCACAAAGCTATTATGGTTGAATCTATGTGCATTTTATGGTCATTATTGTTGGATCTGAAGTCCTACAACTGAGTAGGCATTATTTGATTGATTATTGTCTTGATTTAGTGGAGTTGCAGTATGTGTGTTCAAACTTCGTGCTCGATTTTCATGGTGTTATCGTGCTTATTTTTGAATTCTAATGCTAGATTTGGAATCTATATGACATTCTGTGTAGGATCATGGTCTTGTTTTGAATTTTTGGGTGATTTCAGGTGTCTCTGGCGGCCAGCTCATCGGAGAAGACGACCGGAGTTAGGGCTTCAGCGTCTGAATGTTGGAGTTGAAGCTGATGTGGCCTTGGCGCCATATTTTGAATTCAAATGCTTTGTCGTGTTTTATTTTGATTGGTTTGCCAAGCTGATTACGATGCCACCTCAATTAAAGAGGTGAGGTGGCATTCCATGCAGGTTTCTTTTTTTTCTCCGAAGTGTTATGTTAAGTGGTTTGGGCCTGATATTTTTGATATCCACACCTCTCCTTCTAGACCCATAAGCACTTTAGTACATGTTTCAGTTCTTTCTGGTTTTCACTAATACACCCCTCATGCTATATTCACATGTTTTCATTTTATTTTATTTTCCTTTTTGTTTTGATTTTTTTTTAATTGATAAAATCATTTTAAAAATGCATAAAAATTTGTTTATGATCCT